AAGGATGCCTGTAAAGTTAAGGCTGAGAAGCAATGCGCTGCATGTGCAAGTGGTTGGACTGGCTCTCAAATTGATAGAATACCACGCCCATTCCCCGATGAAACTACATTTAGGTACAAAACTGTTTTTGAATCTCCTGCTACATCTTCAGACGGGAAGCTGCGTCCTATTGATGATTATATGCCCAGAGCACAAATAAAAAAATTCTTTAGTGCAGGAAAATTGAATACAGCGCAAGAAGTTGCTGATTTTTCATCCAAATTTGTGGTATCTGAGGAACTTGTAAAAAAATATGTGGACCATCTAAAGCACATCAACTTTACCAAAGAGTTGCGAACTAAAGCAAAAGCAGATAACCGACGGAACCGTGAAGCAAAATGCTACAAGGACTACAACTGGGATGAACTTCTGCTAACTGGAGGGCTGAAGTTTCTCTATGTTTTTGAACTTGATACGTACTTAAAACACCACTCTCTTCCCTGGAAGAAAAAGTTGAAAACTGAGAAAATTCGCACAATTACTAACCACCTCCAACAAACAAGAGGACAAGTATTGCAGACAATGACAGTGGAAGGCCAGCGTCTTTTACAACCTGGCCAAAACGTATCCGATGATGAAGAAGAAACTGATGGAGATGACATCGATATTGTAGGAGAAACGTGGAGTAGTGACGATGAACGATTGTGTAGCAGTGATGGTATGGTTGATAGCGAAACCGAAAAAAGCGACTACGAACCAGTTCCACCATCCGCTAAGAGACGAATGGTCAGCACCAGAAGTGGACGGAAGGCATCTAGCTTTGTGTTGGGAAATGAATAGGCTTCAATTTAATTTATATTTGCAATTTAAATGCAGATAGACCAATCAAATTTTAATTTGATTGGATTCTTAATTTAATGCCCACATGCTGTTGTGTGCTATTCTTGTAAAACTTGATATTGAATGTGTTCCTTTTATTCGAAGGATTGTATTAAGTTAATATGAACTAAATCTGTCATCTAGACCTACATAGTTGCTTTCATAGCAAAACTGCATTTCCGCCTAATATTGTAATATCATAAGTATTAATCATAATTTAATATTATTATTTTCTTAATTATGTGTTATGAAATTACCGTAAACCTCCGATTATAAGCCCCCGCCCGAATACAAGCCCCCCGTCTATAAGCCCATCACATTACTAACGTTCACACCATTCCAAATATAAGCTCCCCGAATATAAGCCCACCACAATATAAGCCCACACTACGTTTACTAAAAAAACCTTGTCTTTATAGCTTAATATGCTAATAATTGTTCACCAGAATGCATTAAATGTATGGTTATTCTCCTGACAGTTTATTACTAACACAAACGATGGTCCATGTATAAGCCCCCCGTCTATAAGCCCATCAAAAAACGATTACGAACTTATATAAGCCCAGGGCTTATAATCGGAGGTTTACGGTATGGTATTATAAAATTACTAAATTCAAAATTTAAATGCAAATGAAAACATTAGGAAACGTTTTAGTGACCCCCCCCCAAGCACCTGCCATATTTCCAGGCAATTTTTGATAGCCCCCCCTTTATTGCAATGTTAAAAAATGATGACCCCCCCTCAAAATCACCATAGCCCCCCCCCCTCTAGGTAAATTATGAACCCTCCCTTAGATAGACATATGTCTCAGTAAATTTTAAAAATCCCACAGATGTTGTGAATACAATACTTTGACTAATGTATAAGTAGCCTCAAGTGGGGAAATGTATATATATTCGTGTAATGCTATGGAGATTCATAATGTGAACACTGTTGACAAGTGTATTTAATATAAGAAATGACAGATAGACCTTAGATAGACATATGTCTCAGTAAATTTTAAAAATCCCACAGATGTTGTGAATACAATACTTTGACTAACGTATAAGTAGCCTCAAGTGGGGAAATGTTTTGCAATGTAGGTGAGCTTTAATCAACAGCTGTGAAGACCATTTCTAGACTTTAATCTTTAGGCAATCATTGTAAATTAGCCATTTGTCAACTTAGTTCACAAAAACATTACAGTAAAACAATCATTGTGCAATATTTTAAACAGTCAAAACATAGCAGGCAATATTCGTGTAATGCTATGGAGATTCATAATGTGAACACTGTTGACTGTTTTAAAAAATAAAGGCTCTTAAAGTCTTACTATATTTGATATAGGTTTTTATATAGTTGTATTTTATAGCATACTTGTAAGGCGCTTTCGATCATTTTGTCCTGTAGAAAGCACCATATAAATTGTCAAATTATTATATATTATATGAATGATATGAATTTAATTTGTCACACAATTGGTATACAGCAATGAAATTATAATAAATTATGGTAATGTATGATATAAGTAATAATAATATATAATTTTACAAATAGGATTATGTGACAAGGTTTCTAACTTTTAATTACAAATGAATAATATAAATTATTATATGGCTTTGAAGAATCCTGGATTCTGATTGGTCGACGTACGGTCCTTAAAATGCGTATCCGGACCAGTTTCCTGTATGTCAATTTGACAGGCTCGAATTTGAAACGTTTTCAGTTTTCACACATTTTATGCAAGGTCGTTATGTGAAGAAAAAGTATCCTTGGATCATTTTTAAGAAGAAGAAGTCCAGGAAATATTAACAAGTACTTGTACCAACACAAATTTCATCGAAAAAGCTAAGAAAACAAGACGTCTTGAACTCTTACTGGCAACCGTAAGTTTTGGCGGGAAAATTTTTTGATTTGTTTACTTGTTTCAAAAAATAAATAAAGATGAATTTAACGTCTTTAATACTATATTCTAAACAAATATCATATAAACTGGGTTTATAAACATTTTTTCTGGGGGTGGGGGTTACCGAAAAAGTAGTTCTAAAGCGATTGTTAAACATGCTTTTCTGTAAACAATATTCGGTAACGAAACCAAATGTAAATGAAAAAAACTAGCAAATAAAACATAGCTCAAAAATACCTTTATAGCGCTCAAACAAATATATGAAAATCAGAAAATGTGTTTATAAGGAGCCATATAATAAACGGTTTCATTAACCTCGTTTTGCTTGGTCTGTACGGGAAAGTATTTGCCTTCAGTTTATCTGCACAGACCTCGCTCCTTCGTTGCTCGGTCTGTACAAAAACCTCAGGCAAATACTTTCCCGTACAGACCTCGCTCTCGGTTAATAACCCTTTATTATCAAACTTATGAGTAATTAATTAATATAAGGTGAGCAAAGGTAATTTTTTAATTTTCTTGTAAAAGAAGAAAGTGATTTACTATTTGCAATGTACATATCCAAACTGTTGTAAAGGAGTGGACCTTGATACTTTATTGAAAATTGTCGTACATTTGTTCTAGGTGTTATGATGTGAAATTCATTAGCTCTCCTAGAGTCATAATTGTGCACTTGCTTATTAATGTAAAACATACTTTCAAAATGCCCTGGCAGCAGGTTATGTTATACAAGAACATAAACTGTCCTGTTTGTAATATGCGAATGTCATTAAATTTTGATGAGAATCAAATCTACTATTATTTATAATTATAACAACATGGCCAAACAATATTACAATATTGTAAGTATGGGTACACCATTGAGTAGTACAATGTTAACAATGACTGCTTTAGAAGAAACTAAATTTGTGCATGATTCCTATTGATTTGGAAATCTTATTTGACACATGATTAATATGAGATTTCCAAGAAAAAAGTTCATCTTTAACAACCCCCAGAAAAACAATTTCTTTAACTTGACTAATTTCTCTATCATTTAACACCACCCTGAATCCACTTGCAACCTTTTTTGTCTAGGACTGAAAATCATAAATTTGGTTTTACCTACATTTAAAGATAGTTTGTTCACCCAAAGCCAAATCGAAATTTTTTCTAGCACTTGGTTGACCATATTAATCAAATGCATTGGATTTGCATGGGAAAAGAACAAACTTGTATCATCAGCAAATAAGATTAATTTTGCCAAACTTGAAACATTGCATATGTCATTAATATATATCAAAAACAACAATGGACCTAAGATTGATCCCTGTGGTACTCCGCATGTTAGAGACTTTAAGGTAGAACACAAGTCATCAACCTGAACAAATTCTTCCGGTCAGAAAAATAACGTTTCATCCAGTTCAATGCTATACCACGAACACCATACCATTCCAGTTTTTCAAACAGAATGCCATGGTCCACTGTGTGAAAAGCCTTAGATAAGTCCAGGAAAATTCCAACAGCGAATTCCTTTTTATCGATTGCCTCAATTTTATCATAAGAGCCAACGACATTGAGTGGCCCTTTCTAAAACCATATTGGTTAGCACATAAAATGTTATGTTTGTTTAAATATTTTAATAACATATTATAAAACACTTTCTCTAAAATTTTTGAAATTGCAGGTAAAATGGAAACAGGTCTATAGTTACTAAAAATGAATTTGTCCTCCGCCTTGTACAAAGGAATAACTTTAGCTATTTTCATTTTATCCGGAACGATCCCTTTCGACAAAGACTAATTTAAGATATGTGTTAAAGGTCTTGATATTAAATCAATAGATAATTTAATGACAGACATTGAAATGTCATCATAGCCGGCAGCTTTTCCAGATGGAAAGGCTTTAGTAATAAATTTTATTTCATTTTCAAATACAGGCTCAAGAAAAATAGAATTTGGCAATTCTCCAGAAAGGAATGACCTAGTAGGAACTGAGGATGTGGAAATTTTCCTAGCTAGTGAGGGTCCTACGTACATTACTAAAATAGTCACAAAAATTATTGGCAATTTCTATAGGATTCGATATTTCCCTTCCATCTACTTTGTGTTCAATCTAGGTTTTGATTAATAATCCTCCTTAATAATTTTCCATGTTTCTTTCATATTTGCTTTATTATCAGCGAGTTTCTTATCAAAATAAATGCGCTTTGTGATTCTAATAGAATGTATTAATTATTTTTATAAGTCTTATATTTACTTTCAGTTATTTGATTTTGCAAAAATTGTTTATATAAGGGACTGTTCATTGATGAGCTAAATGTTGAAGATCCCCCTATAAAATGCTGGAAAACTATACACCCCCCCATTTGTATGAATGTTTTAGTACTGTAAACTTGGAACACTGTATAAGTCAAGACCCAGAACTATTGTTTCCCTTGCATACTTTTGCTTTAAAAGTATGAAGTGGCTATTCGTACTGGAACAATACGCTGAGTTTGATTTGCTATTCGTACTCACAGCAGTTGGAATATTTAAGATAAACAGACCCCAAACCCTTCGTCCCCAACGCAAAGCGGTTGCAAAAAACTATTTTATATTACTAATTTACGAAATGTAAGAATCGGGTGCCATATTCCAGTACAAATAGCCACTTTGTTAAAATTATATTATCTCTATTACAACAATAACTTCCTATAATAAGTTTTTGCAATTTCTTATTTAAAGTGTTTTAATAATTCCTTTGAGAAGTCGCCATATTGGACATTGTATTTTACATTCGAGTTATTTATCAGGGTGTGTTAAACTATATAAAGTATAAGAAACTATTAATGCACATGTTGCACAGAACTTAAACTGGCATTTAACACACAGTTTTTTAGTTAATAGTTCAATTAGCCAGTTTAACCCTTTAAGTGGCAATGCGCCCTACTTTATTATTTTACTCTGTCTAACGCCAGACCATTTTACTCTGTATTACTATTTTACTCTGTATTATTTTACTCTCTATTTTACTCTGCCACACGATTTTACTCATCAGGGGGAGAGTGTTGCCACTCAATTGGCTAAGGATATATATATATATATATTCGCTAGCTTT